CACATACAAGAATCAACCAATGAATGCATAAATAAGTACCACAACAAATTTATCTTTTTCTCTTCCCCTTCCTCTCTCTCTCTAAAATCAATAAAGACAAAAAGAAAATTAGTTTTGTGATATGAATTACAAATATTTGTCCCAGTTTATTTGTCCTTTTACATGGCTCCTATTTTTAAATGCAAAATTATTTTTCTTTTTATGTAGTTGAATTAATTTTGTTTATAGCATCTGAGTTTTAAGTTGTATAGAGAATAGACTTCACTATCCTGACATTGTTTTTTAAAAATTCTCTTATGGATTCTCTTCTTACTTTCACTATTTCATTTTTGTTGCATTTAAATCCTTAGTCATTCTGTAATTTAATTTTACTTAATTCTTCTATTTTTCATTTTTTCCTTAATAATAAAGGCATTTGTGGCCATTAACTTTCTCAAAACAGCTTTTCATAGTAGTTGGTAAGATGTACTTCCCTTTCCATCCCTTTCTAGACAGTTTGTATATAAGTTACTTTTTTATTTTCTTTTGGACCCAAGGGTTATATCTAGTAACGTGTGTATCTATAAAATCTTCAAATTATTAAGATTTAAACCACTTTTTATTTATTTTAATTAGATTGAATTGTGATCAAGAAATAATATATGTAGCTCTAACCGGTTTGGCTCAGTGGATAGAGCGTCAGCCTCTGGACTCAAGGGTCCCAGGTTCGATTCTGGTCAAGGGCATGTACCCAGTGGGGAGTGTGCAGGAGGTAGCTGATCAATGTTTCTAACTCTCTATCCCTCTCCCTTCCTCTCTGTAAAAAATCAATAAAATATATTTTAAAAAATAAATAATATATGTACTTTGTTGCCAAGTATACAATCAATTTTTACAAATGTTTCTTAAAGGAATAAATGTATATTTTCTTTTTGAGAGGTATAAAGATCTAGTATATATCTATTAAACCAAATATATTGGTTGTATTCTTTTTTTTTATGATCTTTTTTTAATCTATTAGATTTGTCCAACCATGAAAGAGGTCTCCCGCTATCATTATTTTATCAATCTTTACGTTTCTATATATTGAAATTATCATAGTTTACTTTTCACCTTAAATTCTACCTCAAATGTTATTAATACTGCTAGTTCTTTTTTTATGTGTGTGTGACTTCCTTCTTCTGATTTGCATTTGCCTTCTACCTCTTTAACTGTTGCTTTATTTTCAACCTTTCTTTTTCATATTATTTCTTATATACAGCATAAAAATGAATTTTGTGACTTAATCCAATTTGAAAGGATCCAGAAGACAGAATAACTTAATTCATTCTATTTAATGAAATGACTTGCATACTTGATTTTAGTCCTTTTCTCTCGTGTTTATTTTTCCATGAATGTACAGGCATACTTCATTTTATTGCTCTTCACTTTACTGTGCTTTGCAGATATTGCATTTTTTACAAATTGAAGGCTTATGCCCTGACCAGTTTGGCTCCGTGGATAGAGCGTCAGCCTGTGGACTGAAGGGTCGCAGGTTCGATTCCGGTCAAGGGCATGTACCTTGGTTGCGGGCACATCCCCAGTAGGGGGTGTGCAGGAAGCAGTTGATCGATGTTTCTCTCTCATCGATGTTTCTAACTCTCTATCCCTCTCCCTTCCTCTCTGTAAAAAATCAATAAAATATATTTTTTTAAAAAAACAAACAAAAAAATTGAAGGCTTGTGGCAACCTTGCATTGAGCAAGTCTGTTGGTGCCATTTCCCAACAGGCCTGAATGGTTAGCATTTTTTAGCAATAAAGTGTTTTCTAATTAAGACATGTACTGTTTTCTTAGACATATTGTACACTTAACAGACTACAGTATAATGTGAACATAACTTTTACAGTCATGGGGAAACCCCAAAATTAGTGTGAATCACTTTATCATGATATTCACTTTATTGCAGTGGTCTGGAATTGAACCCACAATGCCTCCAGGGTATTTTATCATGCTATTTATAACCTTTCTCTATTCCACATTACATATGATCATTTTTCCTTATCTATATAACTTTTGCGGGTTAAGTACCATCCTATTAAATGGATGTATATTATTTATTTGACCAATCCCCTATTAATTGTCCTCAATTTTTTCTAATGTAAACACCACCATAGCCCATTCCGGTGGAATAAGCCACACGCTTGGAAGTCACCTTTCACATTTCCTCTCCTCCATCCCCATAACCAATCCATCACCAAATCCTGTTAATTTTACTTCCTAGATCACACTCATATTTGTGTACATCTCCCATCTCTCCTGCTACTATTCTATCCCAAAGTACCATCAAGCCCTAGCTGGTTTGACTCAGTGGATAGAGCATCGGCCTGCGGATCAAAGGGTCCCAGGTTCGATTCTGGTCAAGAGCACATGTGTGGGTTGCAGGTTCAATCCCCAGAGAATCATTTGATCAATGATTCTCATCATTGATGTTTCTATCTCTCTCCCTTTCCCTTCCTCTCTGAAATCAATAAAAATGTATTTTAAAAACAATACCATCAATCTGCTGTTCTACCCACATCAACTTTGCTCCCACATTCATTCATATTCATCAGTGCTGCTAGACTACAAACTGGATGATGTCCCACCTAAAACCCTTCTATAGATTCCTATACATTATGGGTAAATTTCAAAACACAGATTCAAGGCCCTACATCTCTGGATCAGATCCACTTCACTCTCTCTCCCTCCCTCCCACTCTCTCTAAAAATGAATGGAAAAAATATCCTGCCTGCCTAATCGCTCTTAACCACTCGCCTGCCTGCCTGATCAGCCCTAACCACTCTGCCTCCCTGTCTGATCGCCCCTAACCACTTGCCTGTCTGCCTGATCGCCCCTAACCATTCTGCCTGCCTGCCTGATAGCCCCTAACTGCTTGCCTTGCCTGTCTGATGGCCCCTAACTGCTCGCCTTGCCTGCCTGATCACCCCTAACCGCCTCTGCCTTGGCCCCGCCGCAATGGCTTTGTCCAGAAGTTTGTCTGGAATGACGTCCAGAAGGTCTTTTGGCTGTCCAGTCTAATTAGCATATTACACTTTTATTATTATAGACTAAAGGCCTGATGCACAAAAATTCGTGCAAGAGTAGGCCTTCTTTCCCCCAGGTGCCGGCACCGGCTTCCCTCCGGCACCCAGAACCCAGGCTTCCCTTCTCCAGCTGCCCGCAGGCACCCGGAACCCGGGCTGGCTTCCCTCCCTCTCTGGCTTTGTCAGGAAAGACATCTGGAATGACGTCTGGTTTAATTAGCATATTACCTTTTTATTATTATAGATAATGACTATCTGTGTGTTTACCATGTACCTAGTGGTTTACATGCATTATGTCATTTATCCTCACAACAAGGTAAATACTATTCATATTCTTTTTTTACAGATAAGGAAACTGAAGCTTATAAAAATTAAGTAATTTACTCTGGCTGGGTAGCTCTGTTGGTTAAAGCATCATCCTGATACACCAGCGTTGCCGGTTCGATCCCAGTCAGGACAAATATAAGAATCAATGAATGAATGAATGCATAAATAGGTGGAACAACAAACCAATGTTTCTCTCTCAAATTAATCAATAATTTTTTTTAAATTAAGTAATTTGCCCAAGGTCTTACAACTAGTTAAGTGGCTAAACTATGATCTGAACCTAGGTCTGATTTCTAAATTCATTATATCTACTTCCTCAGACTTGCACTCTTCAACCATATTCCATATATGTTGGCACTACTAATGATGCCTTGAATAGTAATGTTCAATCAGGTATTTTTGTACTTTGCAAAAAGTTATTTCCATCTACTCTTAAGATTTACTCTTAATTTCTCTAACCCATTCAGTATAAAAAGTAAAAAGTTATATGCCCTGGCTGGTTACTCAGTGGTTAGAGCATTGACCCAAGAACCAAAGGGTCCGGGTTCGATTCCTGGTCAAGGGCAAGTATCTGGGTTGTAGGCCTGATTCAAGGCCAGGTCAGAGCATGTGCAGGAGGCAACCAATTGATGTGTCTCTCTCACATTGATGTTTCTCTCTCTCTCCCTCCCACTCTCTCTAAAAATGAATGGAAAAATATCCTTGGGTGAGGATTAACAACAACAACAAAAAGTAAAAAGTTATAGTATCTCTAGACCAGCTATTTTCAATTCGTGTGCTACAAGAATTTTTAAAACATGCAATACTTACTAGTCAGAGCACTGACTTCTTTTCCCCTAGATTGTCAAATAAAAAAATGACAGCAGCCAACACAACAATAGCCATCTGGTGTTAATGAATCAAAATTATAGTTATTTTTAAAATCAGATAGGCAAAAAATATAACATATTCTTTTGTGTGCTACAGAATTTTAGTAATTAGTTTATGTGTGCCATGAGATGAAAAAGGTTGAAAATTGTTGCTCTAGGCTTATGACTATGAAATTTGAACTTGTTGGTAATTTTGTCAAAATATCAAAAAATAGCTGTGGTCAGTGTGACTCAGTTGGTCGGATGTCGTACCTTGCATCAAAAGGTTGCCAGTTCGATTCCCAGTCAGGACACATGCCAGGGTTGCTGGCTTGATGCCCAGCAGGCGGTATTGCAGGAGGCAGCTGATCAATGATTCTCATCATTGATGTTTCTATCTCTCCCTCTCCCTTCCTCTCTAAAATCAATAAAAATATATATATTTCAAAAAAGATTGAAAGTGATTTTAGGGATTACTCTGATTTATCATTTTGATAAATAAGCAATCTATAGCCCAAACTGTCTTGTCCAAGTTGTACATTAAGCTAATAGTAGTACAAACCATTAACTTTCTGCCCAGTGCTTTGTTATAGCACATTCCAATCAAGTGGATAGACTCAATTTTACTAGTGTCTTATCTTTCGAACAAGACTTAAAAGAAACAATAAAAAACTTTCACATTAAAGTCTGTTTCTACTTAACATCACATTGGTAATAAAGTTCTTATACTTCCACTCAAAGTGGATTATCATCTACATTTCAAATTTAGAATAAAGAGAATACCTTTTTAGTCCATCTTTTTACTCCATTATATCCTTTGGTTACCAGCTGTCTATGAAAAAAGCTGTTGAAGAAGTGAACCTAGAAGAGACATCAAATACAAGCACCCAGATTATATTAGACTGTGCCCAGGTTTAACTTTAAAAAAAAAGGAAATTTAAAAATCCTTAAATATAAGATAAACAAAAAGGTGAGGGGAATTTTCTTCTTTAAAATAATAACCAAAATATAAAAAATACATTGCATGGTTCTCATAAGTTAGAACTGGAATGGACAGTAAACAGATTACCTGAATCCAATCAAGTAGACAAGCAACCTGACAGATTTCTCCAAATCAGGTGATAAAGTTAAAAGAGGCTATGAAAGAATGAGGTATAATGAGGTAATCCTTGAACTAAAAGGATATGGATTACAAAACTAACCTCATATGAAGAATGTGAATTTGGAAATTCTTGTTGTCATAACAACTATAAAAAGGCCATAGCTTAATCATTTCTAGCACTGAAAGAATTATTCTAGTCATATGGAGCATCATGTCCTGCATACATGGCTTCGGAGTTCTGGCTTCTAAATTAGTATCAGCCCACCTGAGATAGTAAACAATTGTGGTCTTAAGTGTTTCCTCAATAACTTTGACTCACTTGAAATGATAAAATTGTTCTCTTCCTGTTGAGGTTCTCAGGATGTGGTCACCAGAACACAAGCATTATCAGCATCACCTTGGAACTTGCCAAAATGTAAATTCTGAGACTCTACCCTAGACCTACTGAAGCACAAACTCTGAGGTTGAGGCTCAGCAATCTGGTTTTATAAACTTTTCAGAGGATTCTGATGCACATATATTTTGAGAACCATGTAGCTTAAGATATTGGTTTTTAAAAGAGCTTACAGTAGCTATTTCTAGAGCAGTGAGTCTCAAACTTTGTATGCGTCAGAATCTGGAATGCAATCTGACAGATTAGCTTTATGATTCTAATTTAAAATACTTAACATATTTGTGATTTTAAGTGGAAAGTTATGACATTTTGTCTATTTTCATAAATAGTGTTGCAATCTGAGATTCATTACATTACCTGTTTAAACTATCAGACTTACAAAAGTTTATAAAGTACTTTGAAAAGTTTTGCTCATTGAAATCAAAGGCTGCTCACTAAGCAATTTGAGTACTCAGAAAGAAATTAATATATTACATTTTAAGAATAGTTTTAATATGTAACTAAGCTCTTAAGGGCATTTTATAATTTAGTTTGTATTTGAATTGAGTATCAAAGATTAATCCAAAATAAAGTGAAGCTGAATACTACTTTACCACTTTTTAAAAGATAGTAAAACTAAGTTAAATTTTAAAGCTTAAAGCAAATAGTCCCTTTTGTGCATCTTCAACTAAGAAAAAGCCTTCTCAAGATATCAACAACCAGCCCTAGCCAGTTTGGCTCAGTGGATAGAACATCGGCCTGTGGACGGAAGGGCCCTAGGTTTGATTCCGGTCACAGGCATGTACCTTGGTTGCAGGCTCCTCCCTGGCCTGCGCCCTGGTCAGGCCCTGCAGGAGGCAACTAATCTGTGTGTTTCTCTCACATCAATATTTCTCTCTGTCTTTCCCTCTCTCTTCTACTTACCCTAAAAATCAATGGAAAAATATCCTCTGTGGTGAGGATTAAAAAAAAAAAAAAAAAGATACCAACAACCATATCTACTTTGAAACAAATAAGCAGGAAAACACCAGCATCATGACTTTCTTATGCAGCAGTGATTTTGTAGAACGTATGCCCAAACCTAGCACCTGATCAAGACAAAATTAATCCTTTTCAAAAAAATCCAAGCGATATCAAATAATTATATAAAGTGTTTGTTTTTTAAAAACAACACTTTTTAATATACAAGGACTCTTGCTCCTAAAGAAGAGTAAGTTTTCACTTACTTTGTCTGGGACTGCATCCATTATCAGCTCACCGTACATATTAATGACCTATAAAGAAGCCAACATAAAACCAGCTTACTAACCCTATACAATTTAGAACATCCCACTCAGAATGAATAACACATTGATACTGCTAACAGTAATCAAACCTTTTGGATAGTGGGGTTAGAGAATGAGTCACTTCAGTAAGGGATAAAGAATCCTTGATTCCAAAAGATAACTGCGAAGCCAACCCAGAAGTTATTAATTATATTTTGTTGTCCAACATCCTCTGCAACTTTTCCATGATGAGAACCTACAATACACTAACCTGGTCATTCAGCCAATTCTGACCATCCAGTGTCGCCAGATCATCCATATCTAGCATGTGCTTATTGTAGAAGACACGGAAGTTGCATTTTTGATGTCTGGCCCGATAGTTTGTTATTTCCCTATTGATAAATGTTTTTCTGAAACAGAAAGATTTTGAAATAGAAGATTAAAAACATGAGTTCTGCTCAATTTATTGCTAAGTATCTTTTTTTAATCAAGAAAAAAGTCACATATGCTAAATTTTATTGTCAAGGGCTTAACTTAAGCATCATTGACAAACCTATTAGAAAAGTCTTCATTAAAGACATCTTTTAATCTTCCAAGGACATCTTTTTCACTGAGTGGAACCAAACTGCCATACTTCTTCATAACCTCATCTAGGAATCCTTAAATAAAGAAAGAAAGATTAAGGTGGAAAAACCATTTTCAGCATTCTCCCAATACTTAACCTATATTTAACCTATAGTATTACATATATCATACTATTAAAAAATTTTTGCCCTGGCTGGTGTGTCTTATTGGTTAGAGCATCAGCCCATGCACCAAAGGGTCGAGGGTTCAATTCCTGGTCAAGGGCACATACCTGGGTTGCAGGTAAGTGCGGGAGGCAAGCAATCAATGTATCTCTCTCACCTAGATGTCTCTTTCTCTCTCTCTCTCTCACTACCTCCTTCGGAGTGAGGATTAACAACAACAAAATCTTTAAAAAATTTTCTTTATTGATTTCAGAGATGAAGAGAGAGAGAGAGAGAGAGAGAGAAAGAAAGAGAGAGAGAGAAAGAAAGAGACAGAAACATCAATGATGAGAATCATTGATCGGCTTCCTCCTGCACGCCTGGGCATGTGCCCAGATGGGTAATAGAACAGTGACCTCCTGATTCATATAGGTTGATGCTGGCAGAAGAGAGTGTTTGTTTTTTGTTAATCCTCACCTGAGGATATTTTTCCATTGATTTTTAGGGAGCGTGAAAGAGAGAGGGACAGACAGAAACATCAATGTGAGAAAAACACACCGATTGGTTGCCTCTTGCATGAGCCTTGACCGGGGCCTGGGCCGGGCAAGAGCCTGCAACCAAGGTAGATGCCCTTGACGGGAATTGAACCCGGGACCCTTTGGTCCACAGGCTGATGCTCTATCCACTGAGCCAAACTAGCTAGGGCAACAAAATCTTTTAAAAGTTATGTTTTGTGAAAAAAATAAAATGAATCAGACCCTCTCCACATAGAGAAATGTTCTAAGACATTTCACATTGGATTTCTAAGCTAGCAATGCACTGTTAGGAAATGGCTAGCTAAAACTAAAGACAGACATCTTTTAGTAGTTTAACCTTGCAGTAGAATCCTATCTCTGAAAGAGTGAAATATACTAGTAAAGGGCTTAATTACCTGATTAAATGTGTCTATCACATTTGGTAACTAAAAGGAATTATTTTTTTAAAAATCACAATTAGAACCCTGGCCAGTGTGGCTCAGTTGGTTGAACATCGTCCCACGCACCTAGAGATCCTTGGTTCAATTCCTGGTCATGCAGGGCACATCCCTGGGTTTCAGGCTCGATCCCCAATAGGGGGCTAGCAGGAGGCAGCTGATCGATGTTTCTGTCTCTCTCTCTCCCCCTTCCTCTCCAAAAATCAATAAAAACATATATATATATATAATGTTAAATATAACATAAATATAATATAAATATAATACATATATTTAAATCACAATTAGAGGGAATGAATTGTTGAGACTCACAATTAGAGGGAATGAATTGTTGAGACTGCTGTCAAAGTATCATTTGGTAAAGGTGTTTTAAATATACAATTTGATAAAAGGGACAAATTCGAAGGCATTTTAAATATACAATTTGATAGCATTATTATAATCTGAAAAACACTATGAGGTAAGCTTAACTGAATAACAGCAAGTAGCATATTTTAAGAAGGGAAACAGAATTAAGGATGACTTCTTGGCCAGAATAGAGAATCGTCTTCAGGTCAATTTAGGTTAAATGTATATGCATTTTAATGGCTTCCAAAATGACCCACTGAATATACCTAAAAAGGCCCTAGGAAATAAAACCAGGACATTATTCTAAGTAAATACAAAGAAGCTGAAGAAAGGCTGAGAGGCTCACAAAAGTGCAGGCCCGCCGAAACCGGTTTGGCTCGGTGGATAGAGCGTCGGCCTGCGGACTGAAAGGTCCCGGGTTCAATTCCGGTCAAGGGCATGTACCTGGGCTGCGGGCACATCCCCAGTAGGAGATGTGCAGGAGGCAGCTGATCGATGTTTCTCTCTCATCGATGTTTCTAACTCTCTATCTCTCTCCCTTCCTCTCTGTAAAAAATCAATAAAAAATATATTTAAAAAAAAAAAAGTGCAGGCGTGACTTGTGCTATTCACTGATGCTGAATGGGGAGAGCAACAGCCTCGCTGACCATCAGTCTGACAGTTAAGTCTACTAGGTTAACATGGGAAAAATAAGGACAGTAGACATTTTACTCAGCTCCCTTTCTAACTTTAAGAATGGCCTCTGCTACACATCGACACAGAATGAACAGGAAGGACCACAACAAAGTGACTGTCTGGGAAATGGAGTGTTTTGTACAGGGAAGGGGCAAAAAAAGGGTGTGAAAACCCCATTTTTCTTCCTGTTAGTCTCTCATCGGAGTGGCTCCCAATTGGAAAGGCTTAAGACAAGAACAAAGGTCAAGGTATAGTAAACAGCAAAGAGTTGTTTGCTTATGCCTGGTCCTGATCTAGGCTTTAGGCATACGGAAGAGGAAAAAAAAGGAGGTCCCATGATCCAGATTAATCAGAGTAGGAGATAGAGATTTGGGGCTTCTAAGAAGGAATAGAGCATATATTTACCTACAACATTTACTATGTCATATCTTATAGTTATCTAACTATAGCCTTGTATATACAAGGGAGAATGGGCCCAAAACAGAAAATAAAGAATCCCAACATCTGAGAAACTGCATTTAAGGAAGACATTTTATCCTATATAATAAAAGCATAATATGCAAATCGACCAAATGGCAGAACAACCGGTCACTATGACGTGCACTGACCACCAAGGGGCAGATGCTCAACACAGGAACTGCCCCCTGATGGTCAGTGTGCTCCCACAGGGGTAGAGCAGCTCAGCTAAAAGCCGGGCTCAGCTGGCAAGCCCAGCAGCAGTGGCGGGAGCCTCTGCTGCAGGCAGGCAGTAAGGAGCGAGGGGTCGTGGACGGTGAGAGCCCTGGACTGCGAGAGGGATGACTGCCTGCCAGCTTAGTGGACATCCTAAGCCAGCAGGTGGACATCCCGAGGGGTCCCAGACTGCAAGAGGGCACAGGCCAGGCTGAGGGACCTCTAATATAAAAATCTTGTGCACGGGGCCTCTAGTATAAAAATAATTCTAATAAAAGATTACAGTTTAGGCCCAGCAACCTTAATTGAAACTTCTCAAATAAGAAAGCAGGCTCATCTATCTAGGGCATAGGGACTTCAATGCCAAACAAGTACCATGGCAAAGAAGTGTCCCTGTTAACACTGTTATTTCTGGATGGTAGTATTTTGAGGGATATTAAGGGGATATTTTTCCCCTCTTATCTGTACTTTTGTTTTCACTTTCAGATGATAAATATGGATTCCTAATGCATAGAAAGGCCCTATCTGAATCTTCAAGGAGAATCTTAGATGACAACGTCTCACTGATGCATACCATTTACTCACTGGGACCATAAGCCAAGCACTGGCATTATCTCACTTCATCCTTGTAAACACCCTATGTATTACAGTATCCCTATTTTACAAATGGAAACCGGAAGCTTAGGGAGGTTAAGTAACTTTCCCAAGGATCCCTAACTAGCATATGTCAGAACTAAGACTGACTGCAGGTCAAACGACAACAGACACTGAGCAGTTAGCTCTTATGCTATGCCACCGCCCAAACAAGAACTACCCATCATCTTTTCCCTACAACTTTTGTTCACTGCACCTTCCCCTTTTAACACGGGTGGGACAAGAATTACCCAGAAAACAGACTTAAAATGAGGGTTAAATCCATCATTCTTTTTTTTTTAATTGAGGACTTTTTAAAAATATATTTTTTATTGATTTTTAGAGAGAGAGAAACGATGTGAGAGCGAAATGTCAATTGGCTGCCTCCTACACACCCTCTACCAGGGATCAAGCCTGCAACCTGAGCATGTGCCCTGACCAGGAATGGAACCAGCAATCTTTCAGTGTAGGGAATGACATTCTAACCAATTGAGCCACACTGTCCAGGCCTATTATTCTTTACCCACTTGCTATCGCCAAACTAATGAACCAAAAAGGAAAAGTGCATTTGGAATACAATTTCTTTTACTTCAAAAGTACTAAAATTTCGCCCTGGCCGGTTTGGCTCAGTGGATGGAGCATCAGCCTGCGGAATGAAGGGTCCCAGGTTCAATTCCGGTCAAGGGCATGTACCTTGGTTGCGGGCACATCCCCAGTAGGGGGTGTGCAGGAAGCAGCTGATCAATGTTTCTCTCTCATCAATGTTTCTAGCTCTCTATCCCTCTCCCTTCCTCTCTGTAAAAAAAAATCAATAAAATATATTTTTTTAAAAAGTACTAAAATTTCAATGTGACCAAGAAGCAAAGGACAAAATGTTAGGAAAAAACAAAATAACAAAAAACTACAGTTCAAATTATAGTCCATCCCGCAAGTACAAAAGGTAATAATTTAAAAAATAAAACCTGAGGTATTATTTTAGAAGTTAAATTGGACAGTTTTTTCTTGAAACAGCATCCCATCCTAAAAGTGGAAAAAGGCTGATTGTGTTATACACATAAGAAATGCAACCACCTGGTTCTCCAACAAATATAATACACATGCCAGAAATCAAAAGGAAGATATTGATGTATTGTATATGCCTGAAACTTATGTAAGTTTGTTAATCAATATCACCCCATTAAATTCAATTAAAAAAGAAATATAAGGATAAACTTAAGGATTGTGCAAAATCTAAGTAAAAAGCATTATAAAATTCTATAAGGGACACATAGGTCGACACATAGGTCAATAAATGGAATAATTCTTTGTTTTTAGACAGGAAAACACAAATATTGTAATCAATGCAATTTCCCCCAAATACAATACCAATGCATCCATATAACCATAACTAATGGACATAAGACACTGGGGGGTAAGGGAGGGCAGGGGCTTGTCAAGGGTGGGGGGGGAAAAAAGGACACTTATGTAATACCCTTTGTAATACTTTTAGCGAAAAATAAAAAAAAAATAAAAAAAAGCCATGTTTTTTTTAATTAAAAAAAAAAATTCCTCTTGAGACAAAAATGTGAGAAATTCCTATAAACTTTTAAGGATTAAAAGGGAGCAGTGAATAAGGATCAAGAGAAGAAACAGAGAGCCTAGTCAACTAACTAGCAATTAAAGCAGAATAGTGCTAGCACGGAAACAGACCCAATGGCAGGTGGCATCTCATGACCCTGGGGAAAAGATGAATCAATCAATAAATGGTACTAAATAGAACCAGTGACCAAATATTTTATTCACAGTTGGAACTCATCTTGTTGTAAAGAAAGAGGTAGGGCCCTAACCGGTTTGGCTCAGTGGATAGAGCATTGGCCTGCGGACTCAGGGGTCCCAGGTTCGATTCCGGTCAAGGGCATGTACCTTGGTTGCAGGCATATACCCAGTGGGGAGTGTGCAGGAGCCAGCTGATCGATGTTTCTCTCTCATCGATGTTTCTAACTCTCTATCCCTCTCCCTTCCTCTCTGTAAAGAATCAATAAAATATATTTATATAAAAAAAAGAATGAGGTAGGGATCCATCTTTTTTCCAAATGGCTAAATGTAAAAATAACACATTAATAGTCTAGAAGAAAGTAGGAACGAATATTTTTATAGTATTGAAACAGGAAAAAGCTTCAATTTTAAGGTTTTTTTCTAACATATGACCATAAACATTTTAAAATAAAGTGGCAATTACCCTGTAATTACTTTAGAACTTTACACCCTTATGAACATGTTTTTCTTAAACATGCAAATAGTACACTATATTTACTCTTCTTTTTTTTATATATTTTTTTATTGATATTTTACAGAGGAAAAGGGAGAGGGATAGAGAGTTAGAAACATCGATGAGAGAGAAACATTGATCAGCTGCCTCCTGCACACCTCCTACTGGGGATGTGCCCGCAACCCAGGTACATGCCCTTGATCAGAATCGAACCTGGGACCTTTCAGTCCACAGGCCAACGCTCTCCACTGAGCCATTTAGGACTATTTACTCTTCTTGAATCTGCTTTTTTTCCTTCAATACATGTTTTTCCCTAAGTCAATTCAAAACAACCTAGTAGTCCATTACATGGATATGCCAGATTTTAACCAATTCCCTACTGATGTCCATTTAAGTTAATTTTTAGTTCTCTAAGTAATTAAACCTTTGACATATCATTGTTTTATTGGTTGCCAGAACAGTCAAATTTCTGGATCAAAGGACAACTGCATGTCTAAAACTTTAACTTTTCACTTGAGTTTTGTTATATACATATACAAGTTTTTAATGTTTATGAAGTTAGATTGATATATTTTTATTGCTTGAGTTTCCCATGATGCTTGATTATTAAAATGGTCTTTTGTACTTAGTTTTTAAGTTTTATTGAACTATGATTCACACACCACAAAATTCAACCTCTTAAAGTGAACAATTCAATGATTTTATATATTCAGAATTGTGCAACCATTATCACTTAATTCCAGAACATTTGCATTACCCCACAGAGAAACTTGTTAGTAGTCACTCCTCATTCTTCTGTCCCTAGCCCCTGGCAAACATTAATCTACTTTTTATCTCCACATATTTGCCTACTCTGGACATGTCAAATCAATAGAATCCTACAGTATGTGGCCTTTTTGTTTGGCATCTTTCACTTAGCACATTTTCAAGGTTCATCTGCACTGAAACATACTGTATATCAGTATTCCATTTCTATTTATGACACAATAATCCACTGTGTAGATATACCAAATTCTATTTATCCATTCATCAGTTAATAAACATTTAGGTTGTTTCCACTTCTTGACTATTATGAATAATGATGCTATGAACATTGTGTACAAGTTTTTTATGTATTTACTTGTTCCTAATTTTTAATCCATCTATTCTAGAATGTTGTGACATAGGAATCTATTTCTTTCCTTCCAAAACAGTAGCTAACTAATACAGAACCCTAGATTTTCATATCTTCCCTCAAGTCTTTTAAGGTATACATGGTTTCTATCTCATCGATGTTTCTATCTTTATCCCCCTTTCTAAAAAAATCAACAAAAACATACTTTTAAAAAGTTATCTTGTACAAGCAAAACTCAGTATTAATTTTTTTCAGCAACTCACAGCTGTCATTGCAAAGCATCCAACTTGGTTTTGAAGAGAGTAACTTTCTCTTTACACTCGTATTTCATTTAAACTAACGAATAAAATTATGAAGCAGTAAGTATATTGAAGTAAGTACAGCTGTTGATAAATATGTAAGCCCACTGCAATGAGCATAATGTACAGTTATATTAGAAAACAGGCAGCATTCAGCATACCATGGGATTTAATTGGCTAATGCTATAGAAGTCAGTGAAGGGAGCATCTACTATACTGACTATCCTATATTGAGTCTTATTCTAATGGCTCTATCAATCCTGATTACTCAGGTTTAGTTCTTTTATTTGTTAAATCTATCTTTCATTGTGTTGGCTTTCTTCGGATGTTTGGTGTTAGATTCTGGGCTCATGTCTACTTGGGTAACTTGAAGGGTGGAGGGAGTGCTATGATGGGCAGTAGATGTTGCTCTGCCTTGAACTATTTTCAATGTGGTGCAGATGCTAAGAACTCCAAAAACTGTTCTTCTGGAAATGACTGTTCCTCATTCTTGCCAAGTGTTACAGTATTGGAGCAGGGGGGATGGGAAATGTCCTCTCTCCCCATCAATCTCTGGTTAGAATATCAATGCTGTATGTCAAGGGGGCGAGGATTTCGGCTTGATAGCAGATATCCTCCTTGCTGCTATATGGCACAGGCAGGGAGAGATACTTTTGTTGAGATTCCCCTACTCAGTCTTTTATCATAGGTCTCCGCTTTCCTCTCTACCTCCATCTTCCAGAAATGGGACTCACTTGATATTGCATCATTTTCCTACACTAATCTTCCTTCTGCTGCTGGGCTATGCTCTGGGCCTTCCCTCCACTTTCTGCCTTTTGGGAGTTTCTGTTTCTGATTTACCAAACTCTCCTCCTAGTTTTGGGTATGGAGAGACACATGTGTTTTTAACATACTTTTCATGCATTACAATACAGATCACTAATGTGAATAAATGTAAATTCTATAAAAGTTCCTACTTCCTCACATCATGCTACAGTTTTACTATATGCCATATTCAATGTATCTATTGTTTTTGGAAGTGCTACATCTGTATGTATAAATTAATTTGGTATTTGTGGGTAAATATTAATTATTTTAGATTTGTGTATCATGGTTCTGCTAACCTCACGGTAGGGAAATTTGTCTTTCTTCTAGACAGTATAAATGACAGAAATAGGTTTTTTAAAGATTTGCTAGGACTCTGTACTTTGAAGAGGTTTTTGCATGTGTGTCTGGGAACTTTTTATACAGATTTAATTGTTGGGCAAACAAAGTGTTCAGACCACCAAGAAGTAACTCTCCTAACTCCCCAGAAAAAGCCATTTATAAAAATTTGATATATCTGTCAAGATATATCTTATACATATGTGGACACATATATACACATACTTATCCTACATATGTGCATATGTATCATTTAACAAAATGGCATCATTTTACAACTTGCTTTTTCACTTTATATACAGCTTTCAGTATCAAAATACAGATAAAATTTATTCCTTAACAGCTTCATAGGATACTATTGCTTGGATGTGCCATAACTTTTACTTCCATAGAAACATTTGTTGTCTTAAGTAATGTCCCCATACAAATATATTTGTACTCTTTTAGATCTTGGATAAATTGCAATAAGGGGAATGGGTCAAAAATTGATACTACCATAGTGTCTTCCAAAAATGTTTATGCCAACTGATTTTGTGGGGTAGATTTTAACAATTAGGCTTTAAAACATGACACAGTAACTTGAGGCCATAAAGACAGATATATTTTACTATGAAAGAACTGAAAATTTCTGTTAAGCAAAAATATCATATACAAAGTCGAGGCTTTCATCTTTTGGTAGAGAAAAACTTAAACTCTTATAATATTTATAATTAAAATTTAACATCTTTAAAACTAGAATGATGATAAGGTCTATGAAGGTAAGAATCAGTGTATCCTACCCTCACAGAGTATTTAATGCTACATTCTTAGAACTATCACACTGCCTGGTACATAAGAGCTTCTAGTAATTAAATAAATAAAATATAAATAACCCAATAGAAAAATAGGCAAAGAAAAGTTATATACAAACAAAAAATGGCCAACAAATATAGACAAAAATGTTTAAACTTTAAACTAAAAAATGCAAATTATGACGGGGTGGTAAACACACAATACAATATACAGATGATATACCCCTGATGACGTACCCCAGGGGTATTACAGAATTGTACCCCTGAAGCCTATATAATTTTATTAACCAATGTCATCCCAAGAAATTCAATAGTATTAAAAAATGTTTGATAAAAAATAAATAAAAACTGAACATTAAAGTGAAAACTCTCATGATCTGTAAGACTGACAAAGTTTAACAGGTGTAAACTGGTTCAGCTTTTTGAACACTAATTTAACAATTCTCTTAAAATTTTAAATGTGTTCTTCCAGCATCAATTCTACTACTAGGAATTTCACTTACAGAAACACTTGCATAATTATAAAGAAGTAGTTTCACTGCACCATTGTTGATAGAAGAAAACAACTGTAAGCACCACAAGTGTCCATCAATCAAGAATTAAATAAACTATGGGACATCTATATAATAAAACAATATAAAAAACAAATGTCGAGAAGAATGTCTAATTGTTTAAAGAGAAATCCATGTGTGGAAGGGAAAAACACCATCCTAGAAAGGATAATGGACAGCAAGTGTGGGCTGGAGGTTGAGGGAGAATAAAGGAAGAGTGCATACCAGAAAGGCAGATTGACAGCTGTTCATCATCCACTGGAGATGCTTTTTGACTGTTCTTCCCATCTCCCACTTGATTTTCTAGTGTGACTCCACTGCACATCAGAGGAGCCTCCAGCGGACTTTTACAGTAAGGGTGGTCCAGCAACTTAGAACAAAGAATGTTCTGTTTGAGAGATCCATCCTCATCCATCTGGTATGAGCTCTCTTTCTGAACAGTCTCTTCGGACATAGGCCCATCTACATTACTTACAGATTGATCTGCCCCAGACACTGACAATTTTACTGTGTCATCATTGACAGTACTTGTCCGATTTTCCTGACCAAGAGTCATATTTTCTCTTTCGGTTTCTGAGATAAACACATTACTAGAATGATGGTCTGGTAAGGGGATGTCATGAATTAGCTCTGGAAACTCCCACTTAGGAGGGGAAGAGGGTGACTGGTCCCAGGTATATGTGGCACTGCCATTCTGTTGGTCAGGGAATGCTTCAGCTAAACTAAGCTCCTTGCCCAAGAAAGGGCTTCCTTTAGTGCAGCCATCAGGCACATGAGAGTTCTTTCCCTTCATCACAGTACTGCTGTCCATACCTGGGAAGTGTGGTTGATGCCGACAAGAAGGGTCTTTAAGTTCTGGGGAAGGGAATGGGCTACAACTGCCACCCTCACCGTTCTCCCTAAGGGTCTCTTGATGGTCCCCAGTGACCTGCACCCAACTTTGCTGGGCTTTTTTTAGCTTGCAAACTTTGCTTTTTGTTCTGAAGTGCTGGGATCTGAGAATCCTGTACCGAAATCTAATCATGGATAATTTCTCATACATCATAAGCGGAGATACTTTTATTCTTCTATGTTGGTTAAGTTGGAACTTTTTTGGAGTCAGAGGTCCCCTATTCCTGTGGTGCTCCAGCCCTCGGTAGCAGCCATAACAAAAGCGCTTTCTCTTATGGTTGCTCAAGGTGACCACAACTGTGCCACTCTCACCTGAACTTTGGCTCTCCCCATTGAACTTCATGGGAAAGTCAGAAGCTTGCAGCTCCGTCCTAGGTCTGTGACCAATAGCCTGATCTAAAACACTATTTGCTGGTAAGTCAGCAACTGCCTGCAAGAGATTTTTCTCTCCGTGGTACTCATGGTCAGAGTTCTTTGCTGACAGCAAATTCTCTGCTTGGAGTTTCAGGAGGGTCCTTGAGGAGGAAACTAAGTGTTTAGTGCTGTTTCTTTTCACTTTAGAGGACAGAGTACTAACATTTTCAGCAGCCACATTCGACTTTGTCTTAGCAAAAAGAGGTTCATCCTGGATCCAAGTTTGCTGGATTTGAAGGGCCTTCTCTCTGCACTGGAAATGCCTCAACTGCCTGCTCCAAGTAACTGGCCTTCCCAACTTTGCTTTCAGAATGCACAAGTGCTGGTGAAAGTAGAACTTCTTAAAACCTCCAAACCCAGTATTCCATTTCTCAGAAAAGGCTAAGTGGATTCCTTTTCTCCATAGAATTTTCCTCTGTTTTTTCATCTTTCTGATGCATAATGAGATCTGGATGTAGCTGTAAAGAAGAAAAAGAAAAGTTACATTTCCACCCTAAAACTTAGGTCATAAAGAGCCCTGGCCGGGTAGCTCGGTTGGTTAGAGCATCATCCAGATACACCAAGGCTGCAGGTTCGATCCCTAGTCAGGACACATACAAAGTCAGCCAATGACTGCATGAATATGTAGAATAACAAATTGATGATTCTGTCTTTCCCTTCCTCTCTCTGAAAAAATCAATAAAAAAAATTTAGGTCAAGCCCTGGCCAGTGTGGCTTGGTTGGGTGTCATCCTGTGCACTGAAAGGTTGCTGGTTCGATTCCAGGTCATGGCACATGCCCAGGTTGTGAGCTTGATCCCAGGTAGGGGGCATGCAGGAGGCAGTTGATTGATGTGCCGCTCTCACATCAATGTTTTGCTCTCTCTCTCTACCTCTCCCTTCCTCTCTCTAAAAATCAGTAAAAAAGTCTTTAAATAAATATAGATCATAAAGATATATTCACAGGAATATATATTAGAAAACTGAATAAAGAGGGCGCATAAAATTCAACTAGACCAGTGGTTCTCAACCTTCTGGCCCTTTAAATACAGTTCCTCATGTTGTGACCCAACCATAAAATTATTTTTGTTGCTACTTCATAACTGTAATGTTGCTACTGTTATTAATCGTAATGTAAATATTTGATATGCAGGATGGTCTTAGGCGACCCCTGTGAAAGGGTCGTTCGACAGCCAAAGGGGTTGCGACCCACAGGTTGAGAACCGCTGAACTAGACTATCAGACAAAATGAAATCCTTTATGATCACGGAATTCTAGGAATTCCCCACAGTGAAAGTTGAGAAGAAAATCATGCATACTCTAACATGACCCTGTTTGCTATACCTGCCCACAATAAACTAAGTTTCAAGAATCATTTCCCAATATGCAGGGACTAAACACACGTTTACCTCAGTTCCCTCTCTAAATCCCATTAAGATGACAAACACGGGTTTTAAAAAGGTAAAAACACTCAAGGACAAAGAAAATGAAAAAGGAGATGAGAGCAATACTATTTTTGAAAGAAGAAAGCAGATGAATGAGTATTAACAGACTTAGCAGGCCAAAAGAGCAGAAACTAAGCCAGCAGTAGCAGAAGCCAAAAGGCAAGCTACAAGATCTCAGAAAGGCTTAAGAATTGAAAGCAATAATACCTATCAGGGTATGAGGGGAGTGGAAAAATGAAGAACTGGTTCAAAGTCTGAATAAAAAACAAACCCTAAGATCCCTTCTCCTACCTTGGCAGATAACCAACGTCTTACTTTCTGGGGAGTCCATTAAATTGAGGTCCACAAAATTGAGGGTTTACTGTACAGTAAATCCAAATTGAAATACAAACAATAATAAATGAACCTAACTGTATTACAAATAATCAACATAACCAGAATGAAAGGAATTAGCCAAAAGTAAATTTGGAAAACATTAACTGTGTAAGATGAGAAACAAAAGAACTATACAAATACTATACTTTAGTTATTGAATTTGTTTTTCACAGAGGGATGAAATTCTGAAACTGCTTTGTCATTATTCTAAAATTAATCAAGTAAGTACATATGTTGTGGGTAACTAGAGCTAGGTTTCATGTTCGTGAAGTTACAAGTAATGAGAGAGACAAAGTGAGATAGCTTTGAATCCGTAGTGACAGACAGAAACCAGAGGTATTTGTATGAACTGATGGTGATACACACACACACACACACACAAATATCTAAAAGTGTGCACACACATATATTTATTTCCTAGCTCTCTCCACTTAGAGAGTCTAGAAGCAATAGCATCTCAGTAGCAATGAGCACCTCTAGCACCCAGATCTTGGTTTCTAAATATTACTCTACACTTAAAAGAAATGGCTGATTCCAGAGCTGGGGCAGAGGAAGTATAAGATAAATCTGGATTATTATTGTAGTGCCAGAAAGTATACAAGTGCTCAAAAATGTATGAGATATGTCAAAAGGACACAGGAGCCAACTTTAAGAGACTCACAATGGCCAAAAAACACACACTGAGCAACTGAATATAAAATGATAGTAATGGGGCCTGGCTGGTGTGACTCAGTGGTTGAGCACTGACCTATGAACTCAGTTTGATTCCTGGTCGGGGCACATGCCCAGGTTGCAGGCTCGATCCCCAGTGTGGTGCATGCAGGAGGCAGCCAATCAATGATTCTCTTTCATCATTGATGTTTCTATATCTCTCCCTCTCCCTCCCTCTCTGTAATCAATAAGTATCTATATATCTATACTAACACTTGGAGTGCGGGTGAATTTCCCGCCAAAATATAAGATGGCTCTGTCTTTTGGTTTTGTTCCATCCACCAAAAGGGTGGATTACAAACAAATATTTGGTAATACGCAGTTACAATCGGCCCGAGTTTACACGTTTCCCGCACTCCACCGCAAATCTATATGAACCGAGTTTTAAGACGGCTCCCGCGGAGTACGCGCAATTCACGCGAGCCGACTTAACTCGTTTCCCGCACTCCAAGTGCTAATAAAAGAGAAACATGCAAATTGGTGTCACTCCGCTACACCTACCAGCCAATCAGGGCGACTATGCAAATTAACCCAACAAAGATGACGACGGCCATGGAGCTGGAGGCTTGGGTTGCCCCCGGCGATGGAGGAAGCCAAGCTTCCAGCCCGCCCTGGCCGCCACTCAAGGGAGAGAACAACATGCAGGTACGGCCAAGAGCCTGAGAGATCAACACAGAGGGGCGCCTGCTCCAAGCCTCTGCGGTGTGGCTGGGGGCAGGCACCCAGTGGACACACACACACACACACACACACACACACACGGGGCGCCTGCTCCGAGCCTCTGCTGCCAGACAGGAAGCGGGCCTAAGCCGTCAGTAGGACATCCACTGAGGGCTCCCGGACTGTGAGAGGGGGCAGGCTGGGCTGAGGGACCCCCACCCCCTAGTGCACGAATTTCGTGCACCAGGCCTCTAGTCTAATCTAATAAAAGAGAAACATGGTAATTAGCGTACAACCGCTACCATTCCCATTGGCTAATTAGCAAGATATGCAAATTAATCACCAGCCAAGATGGCAGTTAACCGCCAACAAAGATGGCGGTTAATTTGCATATGTAGGCACAATGCAGGTAGGCGAAAGGGAAAGCACGGAAGAAGCCCCCTGCCACTGACAGTGATCGGAAACCCAGGGGGGAGCTAAGAGCCAGGGGGCAGGGCAAAGGCAGCCCTGGGGGCCGCCTTTGCCCTGACCCCCAGCCATGATCTGAGAATCGGGCGCCTTTGCCGCACTGGCCAGTGATAGCGGGAAGTAGGGGTGGAGCCAGCGATGGGAGCTGGGCAGGGGCGTTAGGCCCGGGCAGGGGCGGAGCCCGCAATCGGGGGGGTGGCTGCAGCTGGGGGGGGGTCCCCTGCCCAGGCCTAATGTCTCGGCCAGAGGCGTTAGTCCCGGGCAGGGGCAGCTGCGGCTGCGGGTCGCCGCTGCCCGGGCCTAAATCCTCGGCCAGAGGCGTTAGTCCCGGGAAGGGGCGGAGCCCGCGATCCCGGGGCGGCTGCAGCTGGGGGGGTCCCCTGCCCAGGCCTAACGCCTCGGCCAGAGGCGTTAGTCCCGGGCAGGGGCGGCTACAGCTGCAGGTCGCCGCTGCCCGGGCCTAAATCCTCGGCCAGAGGCGTTAGGCCCGGGCAGGGGCGGAGCCCGCGATCCCGGGGCGGCTGCAGCTGGAGGGGTCCCCTGCCCAGGCCTATGCCTCGGCCAGAGGTGTTAGGCCTGGGCAGGGGCGTTGCCAGCGATCACAGGGGGCTGCAGCTGGGAGGGTCCCCTGCCCAGGCCTAACGCCTCGGCCAGAGGCATTAGGCCTGGGCAGGGGCGGTGCCAGCGATCATGGGGAGCAGGGGCAGAGTCGCTGATGGTGGGAGCTTGGGGTCCCCTGCCCAGGCCTAATGCCTTGGCCACATGCGTTAGGCCTGGGAAGGGGTGGAGCAGGAGGTCCTTTGGAGAGCTGTGGGTCCCCTGCCCAGGCCTAATGCCTGGGTGAGAGGCATTAGGGCGGAGCCGTCAATCGCAGGGAGCAGGGGCTGAGTTGGTAATGGTGGGGTGCTGGGGGTCCCTTGCCCACCCTGATCCGGGACACCCTTCAGGGCAAACCAGCTGGCTCCCACCCGTGCACCAGGCTTCTATCCTATATAATAAAAGGGTAATGTGCACATGCAATTTTTTTTCCAAATATATTTTATTGATTTTTTACAGAGAGGAAGGGAGAGGGATAGAGAGTTAGAAACATCGATGAGAGCGAAACTTCGATCAGCTGCCTCCTGCACACCCCCTACTGGGGATGTGTACGCAACCAGAGTACATGGCCTTGACGAGAATCGAACCTGGGACCCTTCAGTCCGCAGGCCGATGCTCTATCCACTGAGCCAAACCCGTTAGGGCGGTAATGTGCAAATTGACCCTAACAGCAGAACGACTGGGAATGACTGGTCACTATGACACACACTGACCACCAGGGGGCAGATGCTCAATGCAGGAGCTGCCCCCTGGTAGTCAGTGCACTCCCACAGGGGGAGCTCTGCTCAGCCACAAGCCAGGCTGACGGCATCACAGCGGCGATGGTGGGAGCCTCTCCTGCCTCCTCAGCAGCTCTATGGATGTTCAACTGCAGCTTCGGCCCACTGGCAAGTGGACATCCCCCCAAGGGATGTATCACTGCCAGCTTAGGCACAATCCCCCAGGGAGCAGGCCTAAGCCAGCAGGTGGACATCCCCCGAGGGGTCCCAGACTGCAAGAGGGCACAGGCTGGGCTGAGGGACCCCCGAATGCACAAATTTTTGTGCACCGGGCCTCTAGTATATATATAAAAGTCTAAATGACTTACCAACTGGTAGCTATGATGTGCAATGACCACCAGGGGGCAGACGCTCTGACCAGTAGCTATGACGTGCACTGACCACCAAGGGACAGACACTTAATGCAGGAGCTGCCGAGCTGCAGTGACTTGGCAGCTGCAGTTCCCAGGTGATGCACCTGGAACCAGAGAGGAGGAAGCCAATTCCGGGGTGCGTCACCCGAGAACT